TCTAGTTCTAGATCCTTGAGGAATCACCACACTGTCTTCCACAGTGGTTGAACTAGTTTACAGTCCCACCAACAGTGTAAAAGTGTTCCTGTTTCTCCACATCCTCTCCAGCACCTGTTGTTTCCTGACTTTTTAATGATTGTAGATGGCATTTTCTATTTTTGCATGATAGTGACATTTTATGATGCATTTTGAGTATGGTGTTATTAAGCTTTCATTTTTAAAGTGCTTTTTGGTTTACCCTGTGTGATTTTTAATGGCTTGCTGCATTTTTAGTTTGATTTTTATGTCTTGGATATAAACTTTTCCAATGAAAATCTTACCAATTTTAGACTGAAAATAATTTTATAATGAAAATCAGGATAAGACTCAGTGAACAGAAATTCACTTCATGGTACCTTTTATAAAGTACGTTGTAAACATATTTTATTTAAAAAACTGAAGTTATATTTTAATATTCTAGTCCAAGGTTGAACGTGGCTAATTAACACCTTTCCACAGTTTTGCTGGGCCTTGGTGGTGTCACAAGCCGAGAATGAACAAGTCATGCTCAGTGCCCACCAGGGAGGACGAGACGAGGAGCGTACGCTCTGAGGAGGTGCATAGGCCTAAGTGTAGAGGACAGACCGACACAACTCAGCCAGTTAGAGGAGGAATTGCTGGCATCTATGCGGGGAGGGAGTCTTGAGAGACTGCGGGGCGGCTGCTGTCATTTCTCTAAGGAACATGCCTGTCAGCCTCAGTCCCAACTTGCATGTCTCTTCACCCCATAAATCTAGACCATAGTTTTGCAGGATACCCAAGTATCCAGCCCACTTTGTACATGGTATGTGCCACAAAGGAATCTACGTGAATAATAAGTATTAGAAGATAGTGAACAGCACCAGAGCACCAGAGTGGTCTCAGTGTTACAGTTCCAGAGGAAGTTTGCCTCTGCCAGTACATCCAGCTGGTGTAATTTGCCAGTGTGTCCCCTGTGTTCTGATACAGTAATTCTTAGTAATTTGGGGTGTGCAGACTTTT